CAAAAATGGTTGGAAAAATGGGAAATAAATATTAATGAAGATAAATGTGTACATGTAACGTTTACTTTACGTCATAATACATGCCCCACAGTTTACCTAAACCACAAGCCTGTCCCAAAATCTGATGTGGTAAAGTACTTGCATATGCATTTAGATAAGAAATTAACATGGAGACATCATATTAATAAAAAAAAGAATCAAATTAAACAGAAAATAAAAGAATTATATTGGCTAATGAACCTAAACTCTAAATTATCTGCATAGAACAAATTACTATTGTATAAGTGTGTAATGAAACCAATTTGGATGTATGGCGTAGAGTTATGGGGCACTGCTTCAAAATCAAATATTGCAATAATAGAAAGAATGCAAAATAAAATTCTAAGATCAATTCTAAATGCAGCATGGTTCGTGACAAACTTTACAATACACAATGATCTGAAAATGTTAACAGTCCGGCAAACAATACAAGAACGTGCTTTAATCCATAGAAATAAATTAGAGACCCACCCAAACCCAATAGTTGCAGACATCTTACTACCGCATGAAAATAGAAGACTAAAAAGGATATGGCCATTCGATTTTATGTAAACTAAGTAAGATATATCACTGGATTATCTTATATAATATCATACCTATTTAAATGTACAGTTTAGCTCATAGAAAAAAATAAAGTGAAATAAAAAAAATGTTTCAAAGCACAGTTGTATTTGCCCCAATAGCTTCTCCAAATTTAAACACTAGGTTTACGGGCATTTTGTATTTACCTGAATCCTTATTTTCTTATGAGAAATTACTATGAACCTAACAAGCATTTCGTTCAAATCTAATAAGAATCTGAAAATATGCAGGTAAGAATCTAATGGGAATGTAAAAAGAATTTAGTTAGAATCTAGAAATTTTTAACTAGTGTTTTATTTTTACGTTTTTACATCCATCTTTGCTGAAGAGACATTGAATAAATTTTAAATAACAATATAATATGACATGGCCTGATAACAAAATAATATATATACAAAATAAGCATATCACAAAAGAAATATCTTAATAAAATATAAGACAAAAAATCGTATTAAATATTTAAAACATACAACAAAAAGATCTTTGAATCCATTATTAATCGTATGAGATGAGTTTCGGTACGAAGTATAAAATATTCAAATTATTACCAAAGACATAAGAATCATTATTTTATACTGGCACGTTTTTATAGCTTTGTTAGATTTTCTGCAAAACGGTTTTCCACAATCGTGAAAGTCATTACCAGTGGTGTTCAATGCCATTAAATGTTCCGTGGACGTGCAAAAAACATATGTGGAGCGTACATCAATATATGTTGATAAAGTTGTACAAAATCCAACCTAATAATTATTGCCCATTTTATCAGTTCATTTGAGGTGGAAAATAACACATATGGAGGTTCTGAACTTTTGGTTGAAAATCTATATATTCTATTTGTTCAATTGGTATATGTCATACTTTGTATATTTTTAAATTTTTTTCTAAATCAAATAAAATAAACAAAATAATACTTCAGCGATAGGTCTAATACAGACATTTTTGCTTTATAGGGTGGATTTAATGTGAATAAATAAGCAACAGTATAAAATCATATCAAACAAAAAGAGTAACGCGTAATTTATGAAAATATACTTCAAAGTTTTAATATAAATTTAAATGCATAAGACCAGAACAAAATATTTTCGCCTCTATTTTGCAAACACATAACCGTCTTTACTTAAACCCACATTTTTATCCCGGTCTAATCCTTAAGGATCCTGCGACGTTGTTCAAAGACACAAATCTTTATTTACAGCAGGGCATATTTTTATATTTTTATTTTTTATATCCACGGTCAAAATCGACCGCACCCTCAATATGGGGAGCTACTCGTGAATAAACATTTTTTCGTGTTGATATAACAGAAAACGAAATCATGCGGAAGAGAGAAATATCAATATAACTTGAGGCATGAAACTTTTGGGTAAACAAGGAATTTTTACATAAAATGTGTTTATTTTTGTTTTGTAAATCATGTATCAACAAATTATACAACCTTAGGCGGTAAGTCATTGATATTAAATTGTGTTTTTTTTCTTCAACATTGTAGTTGTAATCAATTTCTAATAGTAAATATAACTTTTCTGTAATATCAATAAAATTTTTTGTATGAGGAATTTATAAACAAATAATTATAGATTTATGTTTTTTCTATTTAATTAATATTAGATAACTATTATCAGTATTACTTTTCTATTATTTAGTAATATATGCAGAAACTTATGTTCTTCAAATTTAGTTAGTAGCCAATAAATGAAAAATAAAAATGAAAGATTTACTGCACGTTTCGTCTCTAGATATGTGCTATCATTTTCCAGCTCATACCAAAAACTCATATTTCATACCAGAAAGGTGAAATTAATAATAATTAAATAAAAATAAAAATCATGAAATTAAAATATTCTCTAATGTTAATTTCTTCATTTTTTAATACAAACTAAAGTTTTTATTTATAAAATATATTTACAAACCATCTGATTCACTAAAATTAGGTTTTGTCGGTGTTGTAAGTAGATAATTCTGAATCTTTTGTCACCAAAATTAGAAAAAGAATGTGTGTTTGCTTGTATGTGTGTGAATTTTTCGCCGATGTTTTCTCAACCGATTTCCAAAATTTTAAAACCATTTGAAACTCTATAATGGCCCGCTTTGATAAGTTTTTTGCGACTTCGGTCGAGCAGCTATTTTATATTTAGCAGAACAGTGGAAGATTGTTGGTCATCATTTCGGGAAAAAAATTCGATATCGGTGAATCTTCCTGAATATTTTTTAATAATGATTGGCCAGGTCTTTCCACAATCAATTGTGGAAAGAATTGACGATTTTGATGGAGCTTTGCATGATGACAAACTTCATGGTATTAACGAACATCCTATATTTACCTTATTTTGCTGTATTTATTTTACCAAAAGCAAACAAAAATATCATTATATATTAATTCAAAATCTTATTACAATTCTGTTCTCTAATATTTTCTAACCTTTCGCAAAAAATGTTCCATGTTTGTTCAATGCTTTTCCGGATTGCCTTTCCTTATTTGCACTCGTTTCAGACTGAAGTTCACGACTCCCCTTTTTCCGACTTTGTGACGACTATAGTCGAGACATATAGTATTTGGATGTCGAGGGTTGCAAAAATTATGATAATATTTATGATTCAGTACTGTAATGATGGCATCAACATCGATAACGGCCTGTTATATATGTTCTTGAATATTTATATCCACAAATAATAGGATAATTTAGCTTATTATTATTATAACAAACTAAAGTTATTCATATTACCTATATTTATCTATATTACAGGCAGTTTTACAAAACTATAGGGTTTAGTAAAAAGTTTGTTTTTTTTTAAATATTTTTAACACTAATTCATATTCCATTTTAATTCACCTATAATTATTATTTTAAATAAAATAAGCTTGTTATATACATGAATTCATAGAATTTCAATAACATTTAATTTTATTTAATTAATATATAATAGTACTTATGAAACACCATTTTTAATGATTTTACAAATTTTACCTGTATGTGCTATTGCCCAGATTAATTGTCGTGCTATTGCCCAGATTAACAAATTTTGAGTGGTGCAATTTCTTCCAATTGTCTTTTTGTACAACACTCGCCTATTGTGATAACATTATTTGTATGCTAGACTTTTAGATAGTTTTACATTTAATTATTATTATAGTAGAATTTGTGAAAGTTTGTATGATTTCCAATTAGCGACATCACTTCATAATAACTTAACAAATTTACTCAATAATAATTTTACAAATTTTTGATTATATAATTAAGATTCTAAGATCATCTTCAAATTTTGAGTAGTTAAAATTTCTTTAGTTCTGTTTTTCTACGAGCATTCATTTATCTCTATGGCATATTGAATTCTGTAATATTAATATGAAACGTTTTTTGTATCATGCTAATGAAAAAAATCATTAAGTTTTATAACTATAGTATTTATACTTACGTAAAAATTAAAATTATACGATTGCAATCCATATAATAGGGCCTTCAGCATCAAAAATTACATCTATTGCATTATTTTGGAAAGTGAATTTTATTATACGTGGACCTGCTGAGGGCCAACATGATTTATGATACGTGGTTATAATAATTTTTTTACAAAAATACCTGTCTCAGCTTATCTACATGTCGATATTCTCGATAGTCCAAAATGCTCAAAATGTTTTTTGCGGTAGAAGGTTACAGATTTTCAATATAGAGAATAGAAAATATGAGAGAGTTGTTCTGTTTTTTTTTTTCATTTTAACTTCCACTTCAAGTTATATCCTTTATTTAATAATAATTATTTTGAATTATTTTAAGTTTTGAATGTTAATTTATTAGGAAACCTTCTATATGAAGGTAGCTAAAAATAATTAAACTGCGAAATATCAACAATAATTTTAATATCTTTAATATTAAATTAAATATTATAGATTACATATTATTAAAAAGATAAAAATTATCAAGCATTATACCTAAGATTAAGTAAAGCATTATTTGTCTAAGTGTTTTAAGAAACACAATTCAATCCTGTTGTAATTTTTTGGAAATAAATACTTTTGCTGCAGGATGGCTTTAGAAAATAAATAGCCTATAAATAAACTCTCACTTTAGACGAAATAAGCGCCATTCAAATGGGGGCACGAGCACCCGTAATGCGCATCATGTTATGAATTTAAAGGGGAACATATTATGTCTATTCTCAATAGTATACTCAGAATGTTATTATAGCTTTTAAATTTAACTGTTTGTTTGTAGAAAACACCCTATACTGATTTCAATATAAGCATTTCGTATATCAAAATAAATAAACCTTATTTACAATAATGTATTAAAATAAAGATATGTTATTTTTTAAATATTTCATTATATGAATCATATCATGAATACTTTATAAATGGTAACAATTATTTCCTTATATTATAGGAACTGCACTAATGCAAATTGTTGGGGTCTACAAAGAAATTCAGGAGCAACAAATGAATATCGTGAGTGTTTATTTATTCTTACAGATTTGTTTAATATGAAGCATGTACTGGTAACTTATATATACTCCTATATGTATTTATCTACTAAAAACCTACATCTATTATATGCCTTAATTTCTATGTAAAAATATATTATGCGCTCTTTATATCACATGTGCCACGTATATCTAGTAGGAGAGACCGAGTTATTTTGAGATAGGGTCCAAAGAGAAAATATAAAGTATGGTCACTTGAACAAGTTCTCATTATTGCTTTCATTGACAATCCCGTTTTTGGATTTCTTTTAATAATAACTATTACTTGTATACCGACAGATCACTTTGTTATTTAGCTGTGAGTTAGCATTAGTAGTTAGTTACCAGCAATTAATTTTTGGGATCATAACGATGATTTATCTTCAAAAGTGTGCTTTGGGCACGGTTGTGACAAATTTTGTGGGTACAGTTGTGACATGTATTACTTTTTTTTAGGTGAAAATTAATCAGATAAAAAAAGAGGAATGGAAAGGAAAGTTCAATATGATTTTTTTATTAAAATAGATATTTTCAAGTTTTAACTAACTTGTCTTAGTGGTTGTAATTTATAAATATCTTGTACGGCTTGAGCAACCTTAACGTACTAGTACTTTATTATTAGCCTGTGAAAACAATAAAGCTTTTTCATTTGGAGCAAGCAGTAATTTTTAGCTCTGGAGTTTTTCTCTATATTGGCCAGGACTCTTTTCAGCTGTGCCATGTTCCCGAAATGTTCTCTCACTTTTCCACTTTCTTCAATCTGCAGCTCCAATTTCTCAACTGAGCACTGGCTATTATATTTCTCACTTTTGCGACCCTTCGAACAAACCGCCCCGCCGATTCTATGCGGGATATTTTCTTTCTTGACACGTGTGCTTGCGACGTATCCTGTCAGCACGGGGGTAAAAGAACGAGTATATATTATTTTTGTAAATAACAAGTGAAAGTTATATGTAGATAATAAATTAAGTGCGAAGAAAATATATATATATAGAAAGTGTTAATGAAAAATTGTAGTTATTGAATAATATAATATATTATAATATAATATATTTTATTATACTATAATATATTATAAATATTATAACATATGCAAAAATTACGCATAAATAACAAATAATTTTTTGTATATATTTATTCAATCCTGGTCAATTTGTTTTTCTACTAAATTGCATTAAACAACTATTACATATTACTTCAGACAAAAGCTGCTTTTAACACTCGATTTTTTTATTTTTTTTGTTTCAATTATTTGATCCAATACTTTTTATTATATAAACTCTAACCCGGTTAAGACCGTTTTTGGAAAATATTATGTTCGAAAACCGGTTTTCTGAAATGTCGCTTCTTATAAAAATGTTAATATATTTGCACAAGCCTATATTTAAAAACTGAGCCGAATCATTAAATGAATTAAATTGAATTATTTGTTATAACTTTTACCCTTGCTTTATATATATTTTCGATTCGAAATTAATTTCAGATCCAATTTTCAAATGCAATTTTCCATTGCATTAAAATCGAAATTAATTCTTTGTTATGTATCCAATACTGCATTTTGCATTTAATCAAACTGTTTAGGTCGATTTATATAAAAAGTTTTGCATTTGTTGTTGTTTTGAATCTGCTTCAGTTTGTTGGTGATATAATTAGAACACGTTTACAAAAATAGTATGTGAAAAGCAAATACTGATAGATTGTTAGATCCTATTTTGTTTTAAATACATAGTTAAATACATTTTGTATTGATATAAGAACTCCAATTAAATGTATGTGTAATAATTGATATTATTAGCAACCAAATTAAAATTTCTACATCTTTTCGTAGTACATTATGATGATGTTTTGAAGTGTTGCTCCAGATACTAATAGTATCAATGGTACAAATGTTATATTAAAAAACATTTATAATAAATTCTGTGAGTTTGCATTATATTTTCTCTTAATGTTAGTTATGAGAACTAAGTTTTAGTTTTTAAATTCATTGTTTGAACAACAGCTCAAATATATATGTAGTTATAAGGTATATAATACTAGTAATAGTTCTATGTGTTTTTATTATTAATTGCAATGACATAATATTTCACTTTTTCTTTCAGTTGAAAGCTTTCTACGTCGATCTTCTTGTACCATTAGAGACAAATCTTGAAAAAGATACAAAAGTTGTTCAAGTAAGTAACTTCATTCGCATTATTTTATTGGTTTAGGATAACAAATAACCCGAATAAATGAATTTCCACAAGTTATAATGTATTTTGTTCAGATGCGTTACCATAAAAAAGATATATTACTGATTTATGTGTGGAGGCTTTTAACCGCAGCATAAATTTCATGCAAATGAAAATATATGTATATGACTTACGAAAAATGTTAGTTTTTATATGATTTTATATCGTATTTTTATGCGAATTTTCATACATTTATTTATTTTTCAAAACAACCTAAAATTATTTATATATTTATTCATAATGCAAACATATTTTTTTATCTTTTATTCATAGTATTCTTACCCTCTTATTAATTTAATTTATAATTGTTTAAAAAAAAAAACGTTAATTAGGTATTGCGGTCTCCTCTTGAGGGTTAAAACAATTTAAAATAGGTTTGCATATAATCTGTTTATATCTTTTGAAATATTTCAGTTTCAAAACTATAATTTATATACATATTTATTTACTGATATCACCATAAAATGAAGTAATGCTTTTACAGCTGATATAAATAGATTCAGAATTTCTTAAATCGGATTTGTATTTTCTCTGAAAATATGGAAGACAATATATGTCTTAAAGCATCAATTTCGAAATCGGTCAATTTCACTATAAGATCCGTTAATTTTATTACATCAAGTGAAATGAAATAGTCGAGAAAACGTGAACTATATAGGTTAACTAATGATAATAATACATACAAATATATAGGCATAATTTATAAAATTTTTGTCTGACTTTTAATTGTATATATATCATTTTGTTTATATTTATTTTATATAAAAACAGAGCGAGCAGAAAAGATTTATGCAACAGCATAAACAACGTGCTGAAAGTTACAGTAAGGCAGCAGCCGCTATCAAAAAGCAACGTAAGAAGCGATCTTCAGCCTTAGATAAGGAATTGAAGGTAAATGGTGAAATAGCAATAAATAAAAACATCACATTATAAATAATGATATAATATTATATTTCTGAAAGTGCAATTTTAATAAAAAGTATATATTATTAGAATATGCAACTGCTGGAAGAAGAAAAGTCTAAATTGGATGCTTTCTGTGAACAAAGTTTAAAAAATGTAAGTATTTTCGACCAATATAATAATTATTAACCCTCCGTCTGTCGGCGTGGCCTGGCCAGACTTTTTTCGACTTCAATTTAAAAAAAATACTTCTAGTAATCCTATCGACTTGAAATTTCTTGACTTTTCCTAAAATGACGAAAAAATGTGCAGAAGGATAATTATAAGGATAATACTTTTTTATACTTCGAATGTTCGGAAAGGTCTGTCTAGACCACCCATACATTTTGTATGAAATATACGCTTTTTGATATATGTAAACCAGTATTTTGTCTTTTTTCATGGTATTTTCTATTCAAACTGTGTTTATATATTCTTTGCTATGTGTTGTAACATGAATGTCAGTATTTTCATGACGAGAATTCATTGAAAACCTACCAAACTTATTGGTAATCGCAAACACTGAAAATCGGATGAGTAATGCACACATTATCAACAATTTTTCTACGCGTACTAGGTTCGAAATTTTTTTTTGGCAAACCTGAAGTGAAATTATATTTTCACTTTGAGTTTTGCAGCTCATTTCAAAGGCGACGCACCTCATTTCGTTTTCATTTGAATTTCACATTCATTTCAAAGGCGCCGAAAACGAATAAATATTGTTTTTCATTGATAAAAAACAGAAAAATTAACAAAAAAAGCAAAAAATTTTTTATATTTCTTAATTTTTTTTATATAATATTTTTATTATAAGCAAGCTCAACACATGTAAAAGACGGTAAGAAAAAGAAAAAATCAAAACTATAGATATTTACTACTAATAATCGGTAATATATAAGACACCAAAAACTCATTTATTCCATATAAATGCATGTAAAATGAATGGTGGTCCAGCCGGACCTTTCCGACCGTTCGAAGGCTAAAAAATATCCGACCGACGGAGGTTTAATTATGGAACAACATTAAAATAATATGCTGACAATATGTTATTTAAAACAATATAATTCAATCATCTGGACTATTAATTAAATATTATATTAAATTATCATATACATTGTTAAATTTATGTTCAAGCTCTTTGGCAGTGTACAGTTTGTATTCTATTTTACCTTTCACACAGTTTAAAATTTTCCAGATAGATTCGTTTATAGTTGAAGTTAAGAGCGATATATATTAATAATTTCCACTTCGACTTTTCAAGTAGGTATAACATTTTTCTTCGTGTAATATTTAATATCTTTGTTTCACTGGTTTCATTAGGCCATGACCCAAGAACGAAGACGATACGGTTTTGTACTGGAGCGCCAATGTTCATTGGCGAAACATTGGATGGCACATCACAATTCAGCGGCTTCCGCCCACGGCGCCGCTATCGAGGACTGGCTGCGGGTGGCGGCCACCAGAGAATTCTTGCCAGGAGGTGTTGATCAGCTCCTTGGTGGAAAAATGAGGGTATAAAAATTGCATCATAAATCATCGTAAAATATCATTTATGAAATAAATAATTAGATTTTTGATATCAATCAATAATTTCGATTAACCACTTAATGCTAGGGTTGTTTTGTGAAGGGAGGTCAAAAAATAAGCAGTTTTTTTTTTTGTTTAATTGACATATTAATATTTTAGAAATCATAATATAAAGCGTAGTGTGTGTGTATTAGGGTTTATACAAAAACCGACATTTTAGAAAACCGGTTTTCAAATTTTAATTTTACTAAAAAACCGGTTTTAACAGGTTATTGAATTTTATATAGAAAATAAATTTTTGCTCGAATATTCTGTAAATTATCCGCAAATTGAGTGTAATTTAGAGCAGTATTTGACTGAATTTATTTATTGTACAATTTTATAGATAGTAAACAAAATTATTTAAATTTTAATTAGTAGAACTAAAAAATAATAGTTTATCTTGATTAAATAACTTTGAAAATAATTATTCGTTATTCATGCATTGTTTTCACATATAAGAATGCAAATATTTTTATGATAGTGAAAGGAAAGTTTTCGAATAAATAAATATAATATATTTTCAAACAAAAAAATGCATTAAATTAAAAAAAAAACACAATTAAAAAAAATATTAGATATATGTTGATACATACTTGCTAATATTAATTTTAGTTTTAAAACAATTTAAGCTAAACTAGAGTATTGCCTGTTCCAAGCAATTTTAATTAATTAATTTAAAACTGAGAACTGAGAATTGCTACTAAGACGAGTTCTTTGTTTACTCACAAAATTTTCTGAAATAGAAAATACTCTCATACTTGCGTCCAAATTATGCTTAATTGTTTTTAAAGCCTGATATAATAATTCTAGTTTTTTTGTTCTTTAAATTGTGGCTTCTAGGATTTAAAACTTTTTTTTTTAATTTTGAGTAGAGGAAATTTCTTCTTCAAGAAGTCACACTGATTTCAATTAATATATACACTGGTATAAAAATCTAAATTAATATATACAAAACCTTCCTGGGCATTGCAGACTGATAAGATATCAAATGCTATTGAACCGATATGGTTTCAAGAATCAAAACACTTTCATCTATCTTTTATATTTGGCTATATTTGTCGTTTTTTATTTATACAATGAAAACCGGCTTTTTTCACCAAAAAACGGTTTTCGAATTCCATAATTTTCGTCAAAAAAACGGTTTTTAAAACCGGTTTTCGAAAACCGACAAACCCTAGTGTGTATGTGTGCGAGTGAATGACATAAGCCAAATAGCTCATAGAATTGTCAAGTACTCTGATTGTTATTGAAAATAAAATTTAAAAATAATAATAATAATGATATAAAATCAAAACAACATAAAAATTTAAAAAAAAACATATTTAAAAAGAAAATTTAGTTCAAAAAAAATTTTTTTTCAACTTTTCGCGACAAAGCAATAATACGTCAGATCGCAAAAATCATCAAATCGTACTTTTGAACAATTATGTAATAACTATTCACTTAAAAGTACAAACTTACAATCTTTATAAAATAATCTCTTCAACAATTGACGATTCTATAGACTATAAAAAGCATCGGTATGCTTAAATAAAATATGAAATACGAAAAGGCTAAAAATTATCTCTTTCGAAAAAAAAATTGAAGATAATATGTAAATAAAGAGGCGAGATATACTCGGGATAGCAAAAATCTTAACAACTCATACGCGAAACAGTTTCGTTCAAAGTGAAAACCGAATATTTGTATGTGGGGCGAATACGGGTGGAATACATACGGGGCGCGCGCGATGGCCTTGTTCGAAATGCTTAAGTGTTTAAACACTTATGATAAATCAATAATAATTGATAAGTAAACTTTTACTTGTTTTTAGCAAGTAAACTGGCCCGACGATGCTTCGGATTGTTCTGGATCTGCTTTGCGAAAAGCGCGCTCCATGGACGCCTCCTGCCTGGATCTAAGAGCTTTGCAATCTTCTGACCCACAAATTAATGGTAACGGACTGACCCGCGCAAAAAGTGAATTGCAATTGTCTACCGCCGGTGACGATGGTATGTAATGTTTAATAATTTTTATTGTGTACTTAATAATAATTAGTTTCAATTTTTTGTTGTGTATTAATTATATTATTAATGTTTAAAAACAAAACTCTAACAGCCTGCATAAAGTCTCAATCTGCATAAAGTTTTCTATACAGTTGAGTGAAACGGTCAATTTAACATCCCAATAAAACAACTGACCTTTACTCTTGGCTTTTTTTATCATCGTTGTCTATATTGCCTATTAGAGCGGGTCGATTTGTATGGGTCCAAAAAAGTCGCTTAGACACACATGATTTTCGGATACTAGGGATCAAAATAAGATACTTCGCTGAAGAAACCTCTAAAATAAATTCTGGTGTCCCGTGCAATGACCGAAAAATAAGGGTTAAAATTTGAAAAATTCCATTTGACCCATTTAGAATCGCGTCCAAATGTATGACCGACCCCCACTAACTTTGGAAAGCCGATTCACCCATGCCCGTGGTTCATCACCTGGGACCTCCCCTGAGCGGTTTTTCCCGGAACATCAGAATTTATTTCAGAGGTATGGTTACTTCAGAAAAGTGTCTTATTTTAATCTCTAGTATCCGAAAATCATATGTGCCTAAGTGACCTTTAAATTGACCCGGCGGAAATAGAATTTTTGACATAATATATATATATATATATATAGATATATATATATATATATATATATATATATATATATATATATATATATATATATATATATATATATATATATATATATATGTATATATATATCGCTAGGGATAAAATCATAACGTAACTTCTAGTTAAATTCATCTAATATCATAGTTCAATATTCCATTAATTAGTCAATCACATCACAACTTTCTCAAAGCAGTGTGTACGATCGAATATTTCGATCAAAAATAAATTTTAATAAAAACCAGGATTTATAATGAACACATATACCTTTTTAATGTGAAGAAAATAAAGGCAAAATAATTAGGGAAAATTCTGATTATTTTACTCATACATCATGTTTTGTTTTGATCGCTATTAGTCGAATTAGCAGCACAATCCAGCATTTCTAGCTATCCTTCAGAAGGTGAAAATAATCAATCAATCAAAAAATGTGAGATCATAAAAGAAATCGGAAGGTGATATAATTAAATAGACTCACAATCAGAATCAAAACTTTTAAATTATCATTGTTAAATTTATTATTATTTGTTGCTGTTGTCTTGTTTCGATTCTGAATCAGAGTTCTTGCACGATCACGAATCTTAATTGTTACACTATGGACCGCATTTGTGTCTACAGATGCCTCAACGGTGTCCCGCAGGGCAAAACCGCAAGTCCAGCCGACACATGCGTCCGGGAGGAATACGCCGCAGATTGAGCGCCATTGCGACACTTTAGACACTCGAAATCGCCCGCAAAGACGTCCTTGTAAATCAAATTTTTATTTCGCTTTACAGTAATTCATTTAACGCTATCCGAACAATAGATCAGCGTACTAATATTTGTATCAAAGGCTAATAGTTCCTGTTTCCTTCTTGATTTTTTATTTTAATTTTTTCATTTGTTTGGTATTTTTTTAATTTGTTAGTGATCGTAGTTTTTTGTTTTTCTTTTTATTTTTATTTTTTTATACAGTATTTTTCAGCGATGCAATCAATTTGACTATGCTTTTACTTATATTACAACTAGTCCCAATAAAGGATAATTGATCACATCGCTTGAACAACAAAAATTAGTTTCTGTAACTTCTGTACTTAACCAGTAACTATTTTCTTTATTGTTATGACTACTTTCTGATCATGTATGTACTAATCCTATAGTTAAATTTTAGCAAACTTTACTCTTATTGAAAAACGTTGCTTTTATCTATTTTAGTGTGTAGTATGTTAAGGGTACAAGTATTTATATCAATTGACATAATCTTAAAAATATGATTGTTTACTATGGTTGCATTTGTATGTTTAAGCTTTTTTAAGTACGTTATCTTTTAAAAAATTTAGTATTTTAGTAATTGTAGTAATACCTTTAATTATTATTTAGCTATATACGAAGTGCGTCTTTTTAAAGTCTTCCGATCCAATCGTGATTTCAGGAAAGTGTTCATATATAGTTTATTTTACAGGTGATAAAAGGATAACCATACTAAAAAAAACAGATTAGCATTGTGTTTACTACGCAATAATCATTTTTAAAGTCCAGAAGATCTGAAATCTCCAATATTAGGCTCTCGAGATCTGAAAATATTAGGCTCTACATTTCATAGATTGCTATAAATTAATCTATTTTTATAATTGGCATGTTTTTTAAATTTCTATTTACAAATTTAGATATTCTAATAAAAAGGTTTAACAAAGGATTTCGGATTTGCAACTAACATACAAAATAAAATTTTCAAATAATAATGTTCTGATCAAATTTTCAATAATAATGTTCTACCAGATTCAGCAACTCCATCTCGCCGTCCTCGTTCCGTAGCTGTTCCATCAACTGCTGTTCCATCCCAACCACCCCCGACTGCGCCCTGGGATCCAGCACCAGTTCTTTGCAGAGCACTTTACGCGTATTTGTCATCTGGAGATAGTCAACTCAGTTTTTTAGAGGGAGACATGATAGCACCACTTGGTGAACGCCAAAAAGGTTGGCAGTATGGTGAAAATCTACGAACGCAATGCAGCGGGTGGTTTCCTTTAGCTTATACTGAAGTACTGGATGATAGCGGGTGAGAAACTTGACAAAATTATTACAAAAAATAACAATGCTAATTATTCTAAATAAAATGGTGAAATCCATCATGATTTCTGTAATACTTTTTATATAATTTAACTGCAGATTTAATATGCAACTTTTGTCAATCTAGTTCACCATGTCGAGGTATGAGTTCCCCAGGAGGCCGGAGTAGCGGTAATTCCCGAGAATCGCCTCCAATTAGCGAGGCGCCTACGCCAGTTCCTCAGTCAGCTGCGCAGCAAATTCTTTCACATCAGGATCGCTCTCCCCAGCGCATGTTTGGTGATACTCTTTTGATGCATCGCAATTCTAAAATGGCAAGTTAATTCTAAAGTTAAAATAATACTTTCAAAGATAATCTACAAATATATTCAAATTTGCACATTTTGAATGATGCACTATTTTATTCATTAAATTAATATTATTTTAGTTTCGCCGTGTAACCGGCACTGCTGCTACAAATCAGCACCCTGGTCCGCCACCGGCTGCTCCTGCTCCAGTTCCTACTCCCGTGGTTCCCCCATTGACAGGAAGGCCATTACCTTCTTCTCATAGTGCAAACTTTACACTTCCATCAACTGGTCATGCAAATAAGATGAAAACATCTAAATCGCATTATGGATTTGGACTTGGACTTTCTCATCAAACCAGTATCGGCCAACCAGTGTCGTCGCGACCTTCTACCGTTATCGAAAATTCTTCAGCTGTTAGAAATAAAATTGGTGCAGGTTAATGAATTTGTAGCTGTTTGTGTGAAATCAGTTTCACTGTGAAACATTTTATTGAAAAAAGTAATTTGGAATTAAAAATTAAGTACATAAATTCATGTCTTTTTTTTCAATAGTTCGAGGAGCTGCTCCCGCTGGAAATATTTCATTGCACAGTTCGAACGATAGCGGCTTTTCGAACGAGCCACCTCCTCAGCCTGAGGTTGACTATTCAGATGATGAGCATGGAACACGCATGCCAGCCAGGTCAGGTTATTTTTAATTGTTGAACGATTTTTATGTATTGTATTGTGATTACTGTTTTTATATTAATAATGATAATATTTTAGTCTAGTAACGTTTATATAAAATATATTAATACTTGACATGTTTTTACCGTACTATTTGGTGTGTTGATAATAAATATGTATTACTCTTTTATCATATACATTTGATTAATTTTGATAAATAGTATGTACCGATTGAATAAGTCAAATGAATAAGGTGTTTTCTTATTTCATAATCAGAACTAGAAAACTTAGTAAATCGCCTTTGGATAGCCCGGAAGCGCACGAGAATCGTATACGTCAAAGTAGCAGCTATGGAAATCTATTCGATCAACGTGCTACATCCACTATGCCATCAGGACATCGGTCTTTGGATCAAGTTAACAATGGCACCATTGGCCGACGATCATCCGTAAAACGTACGCGGTCTTTCTGGCGCTTTGGGCGTTCTGACACGGGAATCCTTGAAGGCATGGCTTTATGGAAACATCGCGATCTGGTCGATATTACTTCAAATACAAACGCTAATAAAGATACTATGCCAAATGGAGCCTTAGATGGAGACGCCGAAAATAACAATCCGGCACCTAAACGCGATGTAAATTCTAATGAGATGGATAATCAAAAATTAAATGGAGAGCATATGATTCAAAATGGTACAAAACATAATTTTCAGAATAACTATGGAGGAAACACCAAGCATTACAGTGGCAGCAACGGCCCATTCCTGAAGTCTGATATTGACAATCGCATTTCAAAACATGAACAAGAGGTGATGGAATGCAGAATATCTTCAAAAAGATCCCAACAAATGGACGACGATGAAGAAACTATCACAGCCACTTTAATGATGAATGATTCTAAGGACAACGAAATTTCAAACAGTTCGAATGCACTTAATAACTTAGATAACCACTTTTATGATGATGATAGTGATGGTTTGCTACTGAAAACCGTAAAACGCAAAGAGATCTTGAAGCAGTATAATCATTCTACTGAATCTGATACTGATAGCACTACATCTGATCCTTATGATTGCATAGTGGTTGATGATCATTTGGCTGCATCACCACGAGATATTAAAAAAATGCAACAAGCGCAACAGCTTGCAAAATATCGCGAACACAAAGATGAAAATATTGGACTTCAAGAAAAGAATCGCAATCATCACAATGAGGTAAAAAGGCAATTCAAAACATTTCATGCCGAAAACGATCAACGTAATGACCAAAAGCCAAGTTATCAGCAACAACAACAGCAGCAACAAATTAGTAAAAAAGAAGCTCCAGAGGCTTTGGCAAGAACATCATTGTTGCCACGAACAAAATTATCTAAATCGAGCAGCGTAGGCCCAACTATGCAAACAATAATGAAATTTGAACAGGAAATTGGTTTGCTTACATATGGCTCAACACTTCGTGATCGCATGAGAGTGGCTGGGGTAAACCCAAATACAGGCAATACTTATGGACCATGGTACGATTTGTGGGGAAAAGATACAAGCGTTCGGAAACAGAATTAATTAAAGTTTATTCAAAATTGTTATTCTATTTGATAGTTTTAGAATTAAATATATTTAATATTATATACTTCATATCATTTCAAAATTTTGTTAGTTATATTGTATTATTTTATGCATGCTTTGTATGTTTATTCCTTTTTCAATTTTTCATTAGATCACTTTTATTAACAGGTTTTTTATGGCTGTTTGATTTGTTTAGAACAAATTACCTTCAATTTAATTGCATTTTTGCTTAACTCGTAATATTGCTTGCTTATCTAATTTATGAAATTTTTGATTCGCAGGGGAATGCAGTTCGCTAATGTTAAACTTCGAAAGACACAAACCAATGACAGATCCGCTCCTGTCATTGACTAACTGTATATTATCAAATGCTAATAGGAACTAATTCCCGGTGTTGGAACATTCAAAATAGCGATTTTCAATTTGTTTTAACATTTCAAACTATTTATAAAAATAACAAATTTTATATTGAAAAAAAAACACAGAGAAGAAACTTTTTTAGTGCACGTGGTTTCAAATGATTATTTATTTTATACTGTAGATATGTACAAATGTTATATATTTGATGTTATATCGTGTTTCTGTAAAAATATAGCGTTAATATCATTTGTGCACATAACTGCATTAGTCTACAAGGTCAGCTTTAGAAGTGTAGATAAATTGTTGTATTCAATTTTAAACATTGATAAAAGCTAAAGACGACGGCAAAACATAAATATATATTATTTTCAATGCAATAAAAAATGTACATATGTTATATTCACAAGTTGTTAGTCATTTTTATGCTAGTGGTTAACAAGAAAAGATTAATAATCAAAGTTGAATAGATTTTGCAGTCCATGGTGTTGGTTTCTTGTCTATTACTAATAAATACAATTAAAGGCCAATTACAAATTGGTTCTTAATGATAATCATATTTGTTATGCGTAATTTATTATAAATAGGTATTGCAATTAATATTTTTTGATAGATATTGAATAGCTACTAATACAATTCATTCAAAATAAAATTTGCCTTATTCCATCCTATCAGTAGAATCAGATTTTTACCTTCTTAAGCATGAATAAACATAATTTGAAAAACAAAGCCCTGGACAGTATATTTCATTAACTTATAATTAGTTTTGGGCCGGTGTGGGTGCAATTACAATATTCATATATATATATATATATATATATATATATATATACTTTATATATTTTATGCCATAAATAATAAATTTACAAGTTATGAGTACATAGTATAAGACAAATTTGTAATATGAAATTTTGCTCTGGGTTTGAACATATAACAAAATTCTCTTACCTAAACTTTTATATTATATATAAGATAAGGGGTTAAGTAAAAGAATTTTTTAATTTAAAAAATATCAACAATGAAATATATGATTAAACTTTAATTACTTTTATTAATCTATGGTTATACTATTAATATTTTTTTTGAAACAAAAGTTCTTTTTTACAACCTTAATTTCATAACAACGTTCATAAATTTCAGCATGGCCAACATTTTTTATTTTTCATAAGAGTATTAATATATTTTAGTATTATTTTTTTGTAATATGACCGCTATAGCTATGTTCAATAATGTTTGATCAATCAATATTCTTTATGTAATTTAAGTACTATTTAGGCGTAATCATTCTAGTTAAATCGTCTATATAATTAGAAGTTAAATTTATTATTTTGTAAATAATATCTAATAAGAACATCTCATGTTCAATTAAATCACCGTATATTATTTAAAATTAACTCATCATATATGCCCTTATGTTTTATTCCTGACTAGTTAACTTTCGCATTATAAATTCTTTATATACTCGTATATGTTAAATTTTTTTTAATAAATTTGATGTTGAAATATGTGAGATTCAATATTTAGGGCAATACATCAATTATTATCGAAATAAGAATGAAGATTGAATTTTGTATATATATATATATACATTAGGGTGGTCCTTAAAAAGGTCATTTTCGAATTTCCTTGCTCCCAGGGGCTCAAATGGTTCCAAATAGATAAAAAACAATTCTCTGAAAGTTTTAGCTCTTAATATTAACGTTTAGATAGAGCGCAATTCAATCAAAGTTTGTATGGAAAGAGCATGGTAAAAAATTTGAAAATTAAAAAAACGTATTTTAGGCGTAACTTAGCGACAAATGAATGAGTTTTATTCATTCATTTGTTCGCTAAATTACATCTAAAAAACATTTTTTTAATTTTTGAAAATTTTTCCATGCTATTTCCATACAAAACTTTGATTGAATTGCGCTCTATCTAAACGTTAATATTAAGAGCTAAAACTTTCAGAAAATCGTTTTTTATCTATTTGGAACCATTTGAGCCCCTGGGAGCAAGGAAATTCGAAAATGACCTTTTTAAGGACCACCCTAATATACATATATATATATATATATATATATATATATATATATATATTATATGGTATTATTACTTTAATTATATATGTATATGACGTAATTCTACATAACAAACTAATTGAAATTGTATAATATATATATCGAAGTGTTCTCGAAATTTGTATATTGTTAGGTAATGTAATAATACATAATCACTGATATAAGCACATTTTAATATGGTATTGGGACTTTTTGTTACAGGTAATAATTGATATTTACCATTTATTGTAATTGTTTTATTATTATATATTAAAGATATACAAATTGTTTTATTTTAGATGTATTATAATATAATAAAACTGGGCTTTTGAATTGTTTACGGTAATAGGCGGATTAGTCCATTTGTTTATGGATTGTTGTGGTGTTTTAGTAATTTAAAAAAATTGGGAAAAAACAATATAGAAAAAAAATGTTGGAAAACAATAGTCTTTGGATATGTGATTTTGAATAGTTTTTGGATTGCTATACATTTCAAACCAATCCATTCACTTTTGGCGAATATAAGTGGATTTTACAAAGTTTAAATTTAAAGTTTTAATTTCGCACTCTAAATTATACTAATGACGACAAATATTTTGACACATGTTGTTAACTTCAATTGCGTCAATTGTCAAATAGATTTGCGTGAATTAACACGTGGTCGCGTTAATTAAGAGTTTTTAATTAAATCCTTGATTGGATTTTGTTAATTTATGCATTAAAACGCGTGTAATTAATTTAGTAGATCATTTTGATATAATAAATTTATCGTGAAACGTTAATTAAAAGCCGAAAAAATGGATATGTGTAGAAGTGCCTAGGTGTACGGCGTACCTTGAATAGCTTGATAAGTATCTCAATTTTGATTCAATTTTATAATTAAACAATTCATTTACAGCGCCAATGTATCCTTTAATTATATACATGCAATTATCAATAGTATAATTTATATATGTGCTTTTGTAGGTAATATTTGAGAACTTCCACCACATATCTGTTTTTATCGAATTCTAAATTCACGAAAGTCTCTAATATAAGTTTTGTGTCGTGTATTGTGTAAAGACTTTACTCGGACAATTGCAACATGTCAAACAAATTTGTAAAAGACTAAAGTTATGTAGTGGTTCTAAAGTAGTGATTTTGTGTCGAGTACTTGAGATTTCTGGAAGATGATCCAGTGGTGCTTGAAGACCTGTAAATGTGTTCTGACAGATGCTGCAGAGAATTTCTAACAATGTAAGTGCAATGCATGTTTTATACAAAGCTAGTCAAAGAAATTTTTTCTGGAATTATATACAGGCATTTATCATGCCATATCTGCAGGGCCGTGCTTGGTCAGCGTGCATTCGCTGCCGTATTGAAAGTCCGCTGTATATATCTAAAACACCACCGTAGTAAAAATCAGCCAAAGGCGGCCGTATTTAATGCGAGATCGAATCAAAAACAGGCAACTCTAACCTCTGTTTACAAATAATTTTTAAGTGTATAAACTTGGTGTAAGTGGCAAGTTGCGTGAACTCTCCAACATGTGTAAATAATCCACTTAAATATAAAAAATATATTAATTCAAGAGTACATTGCAATGTGAAAAACTATCGCAATTCTTGCCTGTTCATGTTCGTTCGTTAGGTGTGAATGCCCCTTCATGTGCATTCATACCATAGAACACCTTTTGACATTTTTGTACCTGATATTTGGTCAACAGCCCATAAGTTCGCTGCATTTACGTTTATGTTAACTTATCTATGGTTCGTTGTGCAACCTATGAGTGATTCTAGTAACTTGATATCAAAAAGGTATTAATGAAAGTTTTGTTATCGACTTTTATATTTTAGGCATGTCTGATTATATAATAGCTGCCTAGGAACACGTTTGAGCTGACTCCTGCGTCGCGCCAATTTTTGAACGAGGTGTCAATGTAATACATTTCATTTCGCCCGTATTACTCCTACTTCGAGTTGTATTTTTTGGTCTCCATACAGCACGATAAAAATGGTGCGATTTGTACCAACTCTGAGTCTCTCATAGCACAGTTTCCATACTGCATTATGTAAGGTTCTATAGAACGCACTACAAATCAGCCTGAATTGTATGTTAAATACTAGTTTTTCATAACACGGTCTCCATACTGCACGGTACGCACTTGCCGCGTAAAGCGAGGGTTTACTGTAAAAAAATGGAAGGGAATTGGCCATGGGGAGTTATCTCCGAACAAATGCTTACTTATCTATGGAATTGGCAAAGCGGGCGCTGAGGATCCCTGGTAGCAATGTATATTAAATTATTACTAAGAAAAATGTAATTTAGATATTATAATTACTAAATATCTATTAAAATATAATACGAAATTATAAAAATTGTAGGCAACATTATTGGAACAATTAGAAAAAATCCAAAGTAGTATTGTACTTTTACCGCGGATACTATATATTAATTTTTTCTGAATTTGTTGTACCGTTTAAAAGACTTAAATTTCCAATTTAGTGTAGAAATTGAGACTCATCATTTTATTTGTAGCAGTTAAGAACATTTAACATCACTCATATTGATGTATATGCATTTTGGTGTGAAGAGTAATTTAAAAAACATACTTATTATTTTTAGGTAAACTGTAAATATTAATAAAGGATTGTAAAAAATTGTAGACGTGGTGGGTACAGGGCAACGTCTGTCGGATCATCTAGTATATATATACAGTACAGGCCAAAAGTTTCCGGACACATGAAAAATCTCATTTTCTGAGTTTTTAGCTATATTTTTCATATAAAAATAATTTTATTCAAGTTAGTTTTGTACATTCTACGTAGTATTAATATTTAGTGTCTGATTTGTAACCAATTTGTGAGAAATGAGAGACTAATTAGCAATCAAAATGTTAAAATGTCACAGTCGATTTTCATGAATATGACCACCCTTTGCTTTGATCGCTGCAGCGCATATTTTTGGTAATCTTTTGACAAGTTTTTGCAATGTTTGCGCAGGTATGTTCTTCCAGGACTCGTTAAGGCAATTCCACAGGGCAGCAAGGCTGGTTGGATGCAAATCCTTCACGTGGCATTTAAGCTCGTCCCACAACAGCTCTATTGGATTAACATCCGGCGATTGTGCAGGCCACTCAAAAAACCACTTCTGCGAGCAGTAAATAAACAAAAGAGATTGCAATTTGCCAAAACCCACTTAAATTGGACCATCAATCAATGGAAATCAGTTTTATGGACGGATGAGTCAAAATTCGAACTTTTCGGAAGTCATCGACGTAGGAAGGGTAATGAAAGACTCAATTCTAAGTGTATTTCGACAAAGGTGAAGCACGGTGGTGGTTCA